AGACATAAAAAAGACAAAACCACCATCTACGGACAACAAAGGACGACTGCGGTATAGAACCCGGAATCGAAGTAGAAGCAAACAAGACGGCGACCGGAGCAAAGACAACGTACAAAGAAAGGAAAATAAACAATGGAAACAATCGGAAACTAACTTAGAAATAGAAGGCAGCCGAAAACATGAGAAGCATAATCAAACAACCGCAAATTCATACGAAAACAGATTATTTACCGCGCTGGATGGCACATTTGGAATTGGAAACTCTGACGTGACGTAGCGCAACGTCGATAGTAAAATGGTGCCTCATTGTGGAAGATATATTTACTGATTTGCATAGCGCTGTATCTGATTGGACAATATTTTCATTGTCTTTCCTATGTTATTCTACTTTGCGGAAAGGATTTAAATTTTTTGTTGTTGACAATGATGACACGTCACCTACTGATCTTTTGATGAAATGGAAACACTGTAAAGTACTTGAGCAAAGTTTGATTAATAGTCGAGATGTCTAAAATAATATCGCAGTACATATATCGAGATGCGTATAATAAAATAATCTGATGTGATCTATATCTGCTGGGGTTCTTTCCCAAGAGAGTGTACGGTACGGATATAGAATTGAAGGTACTGAAAGAACCTTAAAGCTTCATGTGTTTAAGGTCAGCGACCTGATATCATCTGATCCGATTGTTTCGTTACTCAGTGACATGCATATACTTAAGAAGTGAGTTATCATATGTCATTTATTCGTCTGTTTTTCTTAGAGGCCAGCAGAAATCGCGAGGTTGACGATGACCGCTGCTGCGTAGACGAAATGTCGTGCAAATAGGGGTCAACGTTTTCTTTGCGCCGCTGGGATGATGAAAGTCTGTACGTCCACCACATTTGCTCGTAGGCTGCATTTCCTGTTATTGCGAGTTGGTCGGTCGCGTGACAAGCACTTTTGGCTTGATCGATCGTATGCCACAATGGTAACGGTGATTTTCCTCATTAAATGCTTTGATTCACGTTACAGCACTTGGATACGTTTCAGGCATCCATAAGTCGTTTCGAGAAGAATCAATTTTTGCCCTATGACAAGTTGGCTTCGAGGCTTGAGGTCGTCAGGCAGAGGTTTGTTTGATGCTTTGCTGACATTGTTTATGTTGTG